ACTATTAATTGTTGAAAGTAATTCTGGTTTAAAAATTATTTCAGAAAAGCAACATGACATTTGCAACAGTGATCAAAATTAAAGATATGGTGACACTTCACAATCTGAAATCCTTTACAGTGTCCTTTTAAATGTCAGTAGACTAGTATCTTAGCTGCAACTGAAATACAACAGAGGCAAATATTTCTAATGAAATAACACAAACCAAGAATTTTCTGACAACATTTCACATTAATAAAGAAACAGTCTATGGAACTACTGAACAGAAAAAAGCATGAAGGATAATAGCAGCATATGGTTTACATTTTTCACTTTTCAGTTTATTAATATTAGTGGCACACTCTAGGCAATGGATAAAGTGAGGAATGAATTTTCCGACGAGACTGGCAATTATCTATCAAATGTCAACGCTAAATTATGGTCCTTGTAAACAGCTAACTCATTTTTAAATTTAAATTGCAAAGGAAAGGATATTTACATATAATATATGGATATGTAACCAAAATTAAGCCAGACCTGAACAGGAAAATTGCGTTTTAAAGAGAAAAAAAACATAATACAATATTAAATAGTACATGTTCCAAGATTTTAAAGGCATCGTGACTTTCATGTCGTCTTCCTTCAGTCATTTCCCCCTGGAATTTAATACACCAAGTATTTCATTTCAGAGTAAATAAGTGGAAATATTATAGAGCAACTCCGGTAAAGGACAGCTCCACTACTGAGGAATGCTCGAGGTTTGGTGATCCAGGACTCTGATTTAAAGCAAAAATAAACAGCATATAGCGCCACAGCAAAGAAGTGACCAATCAGTACCATTGGTTTAGGAGATAACCTGTATTAAAAAAAACACAAAAACAAAATACCAAATAAAATATGCAAATAAATAGAAATGGAAAGCACTACAAGCTTTCAATTTACAAATAGAGAGCTTCATTCAAGATCATGTTTGTCTTTCTCTTTAAAGCAGCTCTGGTCCTGATATCTCACCTGAAAAAAAGCTGGTACATCCTGGGGCTAACACACACTCTGTATTCCCTTCTGCAGTAGAGTCCACCACTGCTTTTTTTTTTTTTTTTTTTTTTTTTTTTCCCCCCTTTTTTTCTTTTTTTTCATAGTTTATTTTTTCCCCCCTTTGCATTGGAGGCCCCCCCTTCTTTTTTTTTTTTTTTTTTTTTTCTTTCTTCTCCCCCATTTTTCTCTTATTTCTCATAGTCTATGTCGCCTTTATCATCTCCCATGGCACTAGTCTCAACAGGCTCTACCAGTTTTAGCTCTTATTCCAAAACGGGAGAAACAAATGCTCACCCTTCACACATTCAAAGTAGTACGATTTATGTGCTTTCACCCATTTCTCGGGGTATCTGAAACACCTGGAGAGTTACTAATTTCTCTGTTCCTTTTGTTTATATATGGGGGACATCTGTCACTACTCTCAACTTATCAAACATGGAAAGTCTCTTTTACCGTTAACTCTTCAGCTAGCCTAGACCACTCTGAGCCATTCAAACTCCCATGCCACTTATACTAACTTCTTTCCATATTTTAGTTGCACTAAAAAACTTAGCATTTGAACACGTGGCTTCTAACAAAGCTCCGATCTAAACCTAATCCTAAAGGTATCAGTCCATGTAGACCATTCTTCCCTGCACAAGAGCTGCCTGCCTGGGAGCAAAGTAGGTCCCAACAGAGGCTCAGAGTACTTGATCAGGTTCATATCAACTATTATCAGCGCGTTGAACTTACACAGATAGCAATCCAACAGGACCTGAGACACACTCGCCACCAAGTCTAAAGTAATGGAAACAGGCTTTCTTTAGCTGATGCAAGGAATCTACAAAATGAATTAAAATCACTCAGCAAAATATACAGCAGATATTGAAACTTTTTCAGCATACACAAGAGTGATGTAAAATCCATGACTCTGCAACTGTCTATCTCAATTCAGTGAGATTTGGAGATGGCTTTATTTAAGTAAAGGATAATCTTACAAAATAGCTACATATTTCTGAGTACTAACTGATACAATTTTTTTTTTAATACTAATTCCAGACTTTCCGTCACATCACTGAAACTCAGTTTACATAAGACTAGAGCTCAACAACTGGGAACACAGGTTAAGCTAACTCATTAAAATCCTTTGAAGTACATACAAACACATGGATATATGCTTATATACATACACATTCCCCCCTCCTCCCCACCCTGTATTTATTTACCAAGTGGTAACTAGTTAGAAGTTATCTTTAAAACGTATTTACCATCTGTGGCAGCAAAAAGTTCATACAGGGCCTGTGCAAGAACATTCACAACAAAAGAATGAGACTTTTTTCTTGTCCAGTAAAACGTTCTTTTTGCCTGCAAAAGTAAAAATAAAAGTAAATATAAAACACACACACACACACATTTCTGTCAGGAAACTACAGAAGGGCATTCAAAAGCTTTCTAAATGGGTGAAAGAGCCATACTCATGTGAAAGTACAGAGTGGATTTAGCGATAGACTCGATGAAAAACCACACCAGCTCACTGAGCTTTGGAAATTTATCTGAACCAGTTATCCAGGCTGCTATGATATTCAACAGAGAAAGCGGGCAGTTCCAGGGTGTGTTTCATCTCATAACATAGAAGGCGAGATTAGATGAGATATTTGACAGATATAACTCACGTATTTCTCTCTGTTGACTGAAAGTAAGTAAGAAATAACTGTAAATCTGAGATGCTGAGATGCAGGTATCTACTCTTGGTCAGATAAATCCTGTATTGTATAAGAAGATCCATGACATTCAGGATCCCTTTAAATGCTTCTCACTTTTCAAAAAAAAAATACACTTTCACTTACACAGAAGTCACGAATCACATCTCTGCCTACTAGTGAAAGCTTGATGTACAATTTGTCTATCCAAAATTTTGAAACCAGCTGTGCCTCACTAATAACTTGCACGTCCCCGCGTTACATGAAACTTAAGTGTCTTATCTAAACTGCAGCTAAAGCTGCCTAAAAACAAGCTCAAAATAAAGCTTCACCTGAAGAATTTCAGAATCTTCATAAAGGTCTGGAATATTCTGGAGCAAACTTCTCCATATTTTAACATCGTTTAAAACAACACTCATTCCTCCACCAGTTAGAGGGTGCCTTATATTATACGCATCTCCTAAAAGAAGAACTCCTAAGTAGAAGAGAAAAATTAATAGAACACTGTACAAACCACTATACAAACTTCAAACGCAAATCCTGTATTTTGGTATCAAACTTACAGTGAATTCATTCCCACCAGGAAACAAGATGGATAACAACTAGAAATTTAAAGTCAGATGTCTTCGAATAGCATGTTTAAAAAGCTCTAAAAAGATAAACATTCAAAATATTTCTTTCCTGTATGTCTCACACGTGTGTGAAACACAGAGCTCAAGAGCCTTTTTTAATATCAAGTTTTCCTTTCAACAAACAACCAAATCTTGTATGAGCATGAGTGATTTCAGTCATGAACTGATTTATTCTGCATGTTAAAAATAATAAAAAACCTTGAACTTTAAAATGAAGCAGATATTAACTTGAAGGCTAGTGTCAATACAAGCATTCTAGTTAAATTGTGCCAAATATACACACATTTTCAAAATATTCACATTTTTCTCACCAGAATCATCAGACAATTCTACTGAACAACATACATATATAGTTCTAAGTCACATAAGTAATTTATAATGCCTTTTCCCCCCCTTTATTTCCTAATATAGACCTTTTTTGTTAACAGCTGAAGGAGGCAAGAAGCTTGCAGGCATAGTCCTCAAGCGATCATTCTGAACTGCTATTAAGAATGGTTCCTTTAGGTGATCTGCAAAAATCAAATTGTTGAGTTACATTACTTAGGTGGAGTCTTAAATAATTTGCACATAACCCATTTTAAGCTCTTCTCAGAGGATCTTAATGTAATCCTTCTGAATGGCTAACATTACAGATGCCAAATGAACAAACTGCTGTTTGCTGTGGAATATAAGTAGTGAATGGTTTACTGCAACAGCAATCGTGTGCATGGAAAAAATACAGATCCCCCACGTCTTCCCCTCCCCTCCCCTCCCCAAAATCTTACAAGGATTTGGATGCTGAAGAAAACTAACACAATCTAAAAATTATTCTGTGTATATACAGATCTGATTTAAAATTCACATGTAAACATTTCAGCAGTGAAATTGGGGAAAAAAATATCAGTTAAATGGATGATTACTTTAGGGCACATTCTAATTGTGAAGATTGTGGAGGGAAACCTTTCTAGACTTACCAGGTAGTTGTGGATAAATGTGTTCAATCATGTATTCTTTTAAATTTTTTGGCATTTCCCCTCGAATATCGACAAGGACCCGAGTCTCAGTTGAAGAAATCTGATAGATTAGCACTGGACTAGTTTTAGCTAAAACAAGTTCAGCATAATTAGCTTTAAACTGTGGTGCAGCCTTAAAAATAAAGAGAGGGGGAGAAGGATCGAGACTGATTAATGAAAGGATATTAAACTTCAGATATACAAAATCATGTCTTATATGCTTGAAAATAAGATCCCATAAAATGGCATATTAAGTTTGCCTGTGTTATTTGTTGTCTTTAAGTGAAGAACAGAAACGTTTTCAAGAAAAAGTTAGCTTACCTCCAGTGTAATTACAATTATTTTGCCAATACATTTTAATAGATACTAAAAATGTATGTTAAGCTATACATTTCATTTAGTCAACTCAATAACGCATAGAAAACATGCCATTGTCAGCACGTAATGTAGCCAGTGTGATAGTTTTCCATAGGATCATTTTGTATTATTTTAATAAACTAAGTGGTGGGAGGGAAAAATACAATACTCTGTACATCCCTATATAGAGAAATCAGCTGAGGAAGACTCATAGGATCCTAACCAGGACAGTAACTAGAGTAGCTACTCATAGGCTTAAAACAAGTTTCCAAAAGTAGAGAAACAGTGTTTGGGCTGTGATAATTATAAGATGGAAGGATCCAAAAAGTACTGAGATTTCTCCAAAGTTGTGTTCCCAGTCCACTGGCAGTTCTGTAGTGCTCGCTCCTGCTCTCTTAATTACTTTACCTATTAATCCAGTGGTTAACATAGCAGCCATGGAGGGCAAGATACACTCAGTATTCCCAACTGAGTTCTCCAGTCATCTAGCTACAGAGCTAGATTCACACTTTCTCACTCAAAATACGTAGGTCCTTCAGAGACGTATTCCCCTAGTTACACAGTGACCCATCTTCAGGCAGAAGCACAGTAAGGGTACTCTTCTGGAGTATAAGTCATAGGTGACCCACAGCCATTTGACCCACAGCTGTTAAGTGGAACTAAAATTCACGATTTCTGCTCTCTGAACAAGTACCCTAATAATAAAAATATGAAAAAATGAGCATAACCAGTCAAAGAACCTATACCTAAGCAAACAATTTTACAAATTAAACTGCAGCTTGTCAAAGGTGCCTACCTCCCACACAGGGATTAGTACTTGTTTTATATGAGATGTTGAAACGTCCCTTTTTCAGTATTTCCTAAACACAGTCTACATAGTCCAGAGCTCAGGTTAATTAGTTATGCTGAACCCTGCCCAATTGTTTAACCCTCCCTTGTTCAGCTACAGGGAAATTATATGCATAGATTAACAATGAACTCTACTGTTAAAGCTGGCAGTCTAACTTTTAAGTGCAATATCCAGATTCTTTTTTGTATCTGGATTACTGAAATAATAATTAATTACCTACAATTATTTAAAAAACACACTTTAAGAGCTGAAAATCAGAGATGTTATTGTACCACATATACTACCTCTGACATGGCAACTTCAGTTATCCTATAGTTGAGACAGCATACGCATCAATAATTTAAGAGTTAAAAACATAGACAAACATTTCCAAGCATTCCTCAAGTGACAAAGAAACTGATAAAACGGCCAGAAAAAACATTAAAATATGGTTCTAATTCATTCTGTTAGAGACCACTTAATATCAAAATTCAAGACAGTCCTCAGTAGTTGCTTAAAAAAAAAGCATTCACATCTTTCACACAGAGATATACTCTATGTAAACCTGCAGTGCCTCTGCTAGCAATTATATTTGATTAAAATCTTGTACATATCTCTGTCCACAGATTCTGACCAAATACTTTTCTTTCACTTTACATTGCTGTCATTTCCTTACAAAAAATATTCCGAAAATAACAAATAGTAACAAATGCTAACTCCATATTATAAAGGCCCCTTCTGTATGAATTTGTGTGAATGTTCTCAAAGTACCTATAAAACCAGAAAACAACAGGCCAAAGAAAGGAAAAGTACATATTGAGAAGGTAGCGTGTGAAAGTCTCCCAAGGACTGATAAACTCTGGAGACTAGCAACCCTGTAGAATCCACAAGAACTGATAAACTCCAGGCATTAAGAGGCTGCTGAATTGGTACAAGACGGCCAGCACACACCAGCATTAGTAACAGCTTGTTTGACACCGTCTAGAGGGCAGTGGCTGCTATATGCAGATAGAGAATACAGAATTATATATGTAGGATTATGCATAAACCTCATGCAACAGAGGACTCTCTGAAGGACCCTCCAAACACTACCTAGAACCCTCAGCGCATTAGTATACAGTTGGGGTTGGCCTCCCAGACATTGCTCCCAAAAGGTAACTGTGAGTCAACATCCAAGCAAAGTATGTGAGCGATTAAGTAAACATGTTGCATGTACCTGTCATTAATAACTGTGACTTGATTCTACTGATATAACAGCTTAAGGAATAAGAGGTGTTTTACGAAACAGCGACTGTGATCTGAGTCTTCCCCCAACACACACACCTGATCCCCTTTTAGGGAAAAAGCAATTTACAAACCTTTCATAGAATGTTACTGGGTATCACTTTGCAGTGATCTTTCCCACAACACTTAGATGCTGCAAGGCCTTGGTAAGGCATCAGATTCTGGGAAGTGAGTTTCTCAGTGAAGATCAAAAATAGGCAATATGCCAAAGCATATGCACAAAGTTAACGAGCCATAACATACTCAGTTTAATTCAGACCAGCATTAAGAAACAGCAGCATAACAGCTTATATGGTATTATCTATAAAACCTACCTTCAAAATGCAGCCAACAAAATGGGATGAAACAGTAACTTTGCTGGAGATCAGATTTTTCCTGAACTTGGAGAAAAGTCCATCAGCAACAACAGTAAGTGGTGCATGGAGCTCCTGCAGCATAAAAAAAAGGGTACAACATTTTCTATTTTGATTCAGAACAACAGTAGAGAATAATTCCCAAACCCTCTTGTTTTCAATTGCACACTAAATGTTCGATAAACAATAAGCATATAAGATGATCAAAACCAGATTTATAAAACATGTATTAAGAAAGTATTTTTTGCCTTCTTCATCTTGGTATTTAACTCTACTTCTTCTAAAATTTAGCCTAATGATATGCTCCAGCTTTTACAGATATGCAATCACATAACGTAGCTATGGGGACCGTGTAACAGCTTGGGCAAAAACAAAGATTAGAAAGTACAGTAACTGCTCCCCACACCCTATAATGTTCTTCTTCAGGAAAGAAACAAAACAACGAAAAAGAAATTTAAAACAAAAGAACCACACGCAAGCACCTAAACAAAAACAAACCAAAAAAGTGTAACAAACTGAAATGCAGTAAGCATACTAGTAAACTTTCAAGCGCACGCAAGTAATTCTCCGCAGTTCCTAGTGTATTTAGGAACTATGAGCTGAAATTGTGCATATAAAGAAAATACAAAATAAAATCTGAGTGAACTGATTAGGTTCAACTTGAATGCATGCACAAATTCTTAATGTTTAATACATTCATTATTCTCTAACATGAGCAAATTATATTCTGATTAACATTTTAAAGTATATTTTAAAACACTTTATTGTTATGGTAATATTAGAACATCATTATAACAGAAATCATTTAGAGGTAGATGTTTTCTTTTTTAAAAAGAGACGTACAGCTTTCTCATTCAGTCAGTCTATTCAGTCATTTAATTGCAAATAGCTGTAGGTCTATAATGAGCAGTAGTCCTTGGCCTTTAATCATTTCGTACAGCAGGCATAAGCAGAAAAACAGTTCTCCTTTTAAGCTTTCAGGTTATAAGTAACAGGGCAAAAAGCCACACCATGTTTCATTAGTACTCCTGGGAAACTTTTCAGCTCTGGATAGAAGCATCTGGTGAGCCAGAATGTGAATTGCACATCCGTGCCTGGAATGGGTTCATCTGTGAGCAGTTCTCTCCTGCACAAGAATGGGACTCCGGCACTTGTGTGACACGATCCTTTTGTCTTTTGCTGCACGAAGGGATGTTAGACTAAGGCAAATGAGGGTGCAGCTGAGTAAAATAATATATATATTTCTGGTCTTTGAGCTTATGGAAGTGAGTTCAGAAATACAGCTCAAGAGATAGCAGAACTAGTAAAGCCTTTTTTCCTATGGATTCCTGTCTCAGATGACTGCAAGCTCTAATCATTGCTGCAATTGGAGCATGCACAAGTTGCCTGGCTGCACGGATTCCCTAGTGTCTAATGATCTGAACGCTCATGCTACAATTTTTCCACAGTCGGTGTACTTACATCTTTCCTCTATTCAGCTGCCTGTTTTGTAATTTCACTTTATTATACTGGCTAACTTCAGCTTCATTTAAGAGATTAGAAAACTCAAACATCATGTGGTAGAGAAGAGAATGGGGGTGAGGAGGACAGAAAAGCACACAGACCTATTCACATCAGCCCCCTTTCCTTATGAAAGCTGCTAAGGAATGGATACAGGCTTTTTCTTTTTTTTTCTTTTTTTTTTTTTAAATAGTTCTCTAGCTATAGGGTGCCACAGAAGAAACGGTCAGCAGAAATTTCTTCCACTGGGTTTCTACAATCAGAGGATATCTAGGCCAGCAAATAACATAGCTCTTTCCAGCCACAGAATTTAGAGCATTCAAAGAAAAGTATGAATTTGCTATGCCCATCATATAGATAGGAAACATGCACTACCAAAAAAAGCCAAACCTGTTCTAAAATTGGTATTGCTGGATGACTAAGTGAGCTGGATCCGAGGAAGACAAAAAGAAAAAAACACACATACCTTTCCAGTACCCAGATGTGATGCAATGGCTTATTTTACTGGAGTAGATCTCCAGTAATGCTGGAGAGATGCAATGCTGTTTTATTCATTGTACGTGGGATTAAAAACAGATAGACCAAGGAACAGGACTTCGGACTCCCCACCGCAAGCTACCTCAAGGGGGGGCCAAGGATGGTGTTTCCACTCAGCAGTCTTACAGCTTCCCAGTGACAGCGCTCTGCTAGAAAATGGACTGAAATGCCTTTTGCCTGAGGAGGGCCTAAAACCAGTTCTCCTACATCTTAGGCAAGTACTTCTAAATGGCTCTTTTACATATGGCTTTATACTGTTTTCATTTCTAAACAACCTAAAGACGTGAGATTTTGTTAGCAATGCTCAGAATAGGATCCTCCGACTACTAAGGAGTTTTCTGAATCTAGTATGGAGGGCAGCAGAGTTTAGCTAGGAGAAAGGTGCCTGTCTTCCCCATGCTCGCTACATAACTTTATACAGCAAAGGAACCTTATAACCAAGAAAGGAGATTCCCATTTTTCACTTTTCTAGAGAATAGGCAGTATACCCAGGACTTCAAAGAAGAGTCTACCTCAGCCGGTAGACTCCTAAACATTTTTTTTTTTTTAATATAAATTCACTCAGTTTCATAGCATTTAGCCAGCACTTTAGTATCAGTGGAGGCAGGAACACGAATCAAATCAGTGACACAATTAAAATAATCCAGAATCACTCATTTTCTTTCTATGTTCCAAGAAACGACTGGACAGAGAAGTATCTCTGTGAACAGGCAACTACTCTCTTACTTTCAGACACCTCAGCTGATGGTAGAAGTATATGTGGAAACACAGACTGTTACATATACCAAGTACGAGTCTTAATATATTGTTTCTCATCAGTAACTTTTTTCAAAAGACTTTAAACTCCAGACATGTGAATCCTGAAATAAACGATTAAGTGAATTCTCCAGAGACACTGCCATCAGAAGTTCTAACAGGAATTCTCATATGCCAGGATTGTACGCACGAGAAAGTGATCTCCCTTTTGTTAAAGCTTTTGCTTTCCTGACAGTTGAAGTATTTCTGCATCAGTGCTCTGAAATAACAAACTTCTAAAAATGCTATATATACTGCTGTTTAACTACCGTCAGAATACAAAGATCAAAACGCAAAACTGTCTCACCTTAATATCTCCAGTTTCTTTGTCCTTGTATTGAACACCCACTACACAGTCTTCCTCCTCAAGCAACTGCAACACAGTGCCTTCGATGAATTTTGCACTGAAATTAAAGGGGTTAAGAACAGAATGGAAGAGGATTAACAAGGCCAACATTTCAAGGCACTACCATACAAGCAAGGCCAGTTCTTCAATAAGCCTGTTTCTGCAGTCAAATATATATTTTTAATTTTGCACACAAATATGTTTTTTTATCGCTTTCAGAAAGCCATATTAAATAGCAAGAAGTGCCTGTCATTAATTGCAGTTCAGCATTACCATTATGTCTCGTACACGAGAATACTCTAAAACTGTAATGCTTAACTCAAACATGCTACCACTTAGCAGAATTCCCAGTTTTGCATTAGGTGTCCTATGACCACATGGGAGATGCACAAAGGAACTTGATACCTAGTAACTGTCAGACACCTACCACTAATTGAGAAGTCATTTGTGCTCAATGGTGGGAAATGCTGAGAGTTTGGGTGAGACCTAACTCCACACAGAACCAAGGAGCAAGACCCAAAGTAGCACTTCAACATTAATATGTAAACTAGGTAGAACTGAGATACCTAAGTCTCAAATTAATCCAACTAATCTGCATAGGACAGACACATCTAGCTTTTCACCTCAAAACTCAGGATACACATTCAGTTTACTGTTTGTGCCTTTACAGTTCTGCTGACGCTTATGGATCGCTTATGGATGAACTGAGCACCCCTTGCATTCATCTCCCAACATGGGCTATTCAGGTTTCAAAAACCAATATCTCTGTCCACCTAAATTCATTGTTCAGTCTGAGCTGTTACACCCGATCCTAGCAGTTCAGAGACACTCTCAGCAGCTCAAAACTGACACTCTTCTTTCTATAGCTCATGAATACTTTCATACCCATATGGAATTCAACAACTTCGAAAAGCAGGATAAAGATCCATGAGAGAATGTAGCAGCCTGATGTTTCAGGCTCTCAGAGGAACATAGGCAATTGGATTTGTATCTTTGCTGCGTGTCGGCCAGCACAAAAATTTCCAAGCAAATCTCCCACATCCAAGGTGGGTGCCCTAACTCACATGCCAGTGAGTAATATGGGACAGACATATTCATACATAATACCTGCCCCAAAATTTCACTACCACACTTAAACTTCATAAGAGAGCTGAACTCCTAGGTGCAGGAAAGCATACCTATCACGTCAAATCTGTCAAGTCAAAGAAGCGGTAGTGACTAGCTTAACAGTTTTTCCAGGCAACAGGCAGGTTGGCTGTACCAAAACATGAACAGTTTTGTGTAAGCACACTAATAGGTACTCTAGCAGAAAGGGACTACAGCACCCTCTTGGTTTAACAGCAGGTGAATCAGGGTACTGAGGATCCCAGTAGCTTTTAAATTTATTTATATTTGCCATGTGACTTATCTAAGTAAGTGCTTATTTCCTGAGTTATCTAAGTGCTTGCTTCCTTTTGTGATTCTAACCTACTATAAAAATGATTAACTTAAAATGCACCTACTTTTTCCTCTACAAAATTAACTTTACTCATTTGAAATAAATTCATATTGCCTAGCACAAAGAGACAGGATATATTAACCAGCAGTAATTCTCCCCTATATTTTCACAAGTTATGAGATGAAAGACAAAACATAATGGTGCTACCAAGATTGTTTGATCTCTCCTGCACCTTGATTCAATAAGCAGTTTTTACACGACATATAAAAAGAAAGCAAACATACACAACAGGAACATTAAAGAGAGCCTGGAAAATGGGAAAGCATAGATCTGAAGTCAAATATTAGTGGTTGTAAATGTTTGCTTCAAAATTTGTGTACAGCTTCTGGAGCCTTCCACAAATTGAATGAACATATGCCCAAATTTCACTGAGTTTGAATCCCTAAAAAGAAAGCTTTAGCTTTTATGGATAGCAAATGTAGTTGTCATTAACCTTAACTGTATTGCAAAGTTGCTAGCTTTTAGTGATGATTTTACTAGTTCGTAAAATGTAACATAAATTATGGGACCAAGCAATTTTCCAGTTCAGAATAAAGATGTATTAAGAATAAAGAAAATAAAGCCATTCGTATTTCCCTTGTAAGCATAATTTATAACAAAAAAAAAAAAAACCACACAGAAAACAGCATCTAGTATCTATTCTGCTTCAATTAAAGTTTCTCAAAGAAAGTGATCAGTTAGAGGAAACACCAAACACTATGATTTTTATTTTATTAGTAGGAGGAAGGGTCTACAGTATTCCAAAACACTGAAGCTACCAGAAATAGCTCTTTTCAACTATCTGTTTTTCCATTCTAGCTATTTTGCCTATTTTGTTGTTATTAGAAAAAGCACAAACATACGTATGTAAGAAGAGTTTGACTTCTTACATCACAAATAACATCACCGTAAGAAATGATATCAGACTTACCATTTACCAGTTCTACTACCATTTACCAGTTCTAGGCATTGCTCACTGAGAAGAGGAGGCTCCTTTTGTTAAAAAGCCAAACCCAAGAATCAGCATAGGAGAATCAAGCCTTTACACTTGAACTGTTCTTTCATATGGGCCAGTACCTTGAGTAATATCTGAAGCCTATATTCCCATAAATTTAAATATTAACTTGTTCCAATGGCTAACAGACAACGTATACTCAGTTCACGGACGTGACACGTATAGAAAACAGAGAGAATGAGTATAGCTGTCTTTTTGTATTAGTCTTGTGAATTGGAGCTCTCTGTGTTCAGACAGAGTGAAAATCTCCCTGACACTAGGAAAAACGCTACTAAATCTCAGGAGACAAAACGTGATGTTCACTATTACAAGTTGACTTACTTGGGTTCTGCCATAGCTGCCTTTCGGAGACTCATGATGAACTGGCCATGACGAAATGACCTTCCACTAGCCACGTGGCCATCTTCAGATGTTGGATAAGGAATTTCAACCTCCGACTCGCTCTCTATGTCATGGATTATGTAACCATTTACTACTCGCGCATCAATATCTTTCACTGTATCTGCAAAATATATGCCAATACATGGGTAAGAAAAACGTATTTCAAAAAGCTTAATTGTCTATTAAAATTACTTCCGTACATACAGTCTAATTTTTTTTTTTAATCACAAGACACATGTTAAGGGGAGAATATTTTCAAAATGGTAGACTAAAAACACCTAAGCAATTTTAATTCAAATATTCACAGTAGATAATGTATTTCTTGATTTTCTCTGTACGCATGCTTTTTGCAAATATGCAGATGTATCTGCACTTTGAAATGCACTTACCTTCAAGACCCAAGTCTCTAAGGGCATTAAAACCTCCAGGTTGTAACAGTTCTCCAACTATCCTGTCCGGTTCTTTCAGATCCCTCTCTATGACAGTCACCTTCCTTCCATCCCTCGAGAGCACCGCAGCCAAAGAAGAACCAAGGACACCTGAACCCACAATGATAATTTCTGGATCATACTGAGGTGATAATGTTGTATTTGGAGCAGTCTCTGTCATATGTAAATCTGAGAAGTTCACTTCTCTTCTGCCCTTTAGAAAGGAAAGTCAACAAAATTACAAACACACACAGAGAATTTCTGCTGTACATTCACCTTACAATTAATTAATTATAGCATGATGCAGGAATATAAGGATGAGGAACTTATTTTTGCAGTGTCAAAGTTAATCAGTTTTGTCCCTCATATATAGGTATGAGCCTCTACTCCTGTAGTCCTGCACATCGCTGACACTGAGCAACGTTAAGTAGAGTCCTTTGTTGTTCCTGGGCCTACTCATTCTATGTTTACAAGAACATGGTTGAGCAGCAAGGGATTTGGAAGTAGTGAGAAACAGGATGTGCTGATGACTCAACATCTGTACCATGACTTCTGCAGGGGGTTAACCCTGGACTAGTTCTACTTTGATCCAACAGACTGAGTGTCCACCAGTTGGCTGGAGAGCATGTTCTAGTGTAATTTTGTCCAAAATGAAATCTGTTGTACTTTACAATGTAATCAAAACACAAAAAACAGCAGGAAAAAAAAAAACCAACACTGACTTAAAACTGCACTCCTGATCAAAACCAGACCACTAATATAATTTCAGTCTCAGATGTACTGAAAGTCAAGTCCATACAAAAGGCAATGAACCAAGGCTGTACTATTTTCTTGATCTACAAAGTAACATACCAATGCCTTCATGTCAGTGAGCCCCTAATATATGGGGGCCTTAGCGCTTTGCAATGGGAAAAGTTATTATAGTCTCTGAAAAATGTGTTTCTCTTTAATTTTACTGTAAACAAATATCAATGTCTTTCTAACAGAAACTACTCTACAAAACAACCAACCAACCAGTTTATGGTAAACACTCAGCATGGGAAAGTGTCAGCAGAAACAGTTAATAGGGAAATGTTATAAGGAACTGCTGCTAAAATGAAAACTCATTAAACAGTCTGAACTCTGAGCAAGATTACCAAATACCTATATTTAAAAGCTGCCAAGAACTGACATACATCAAATTGTATTACATACATCAGATTACCATGAATATATCTGATACTTTAACATCAACTATATTACAGTGCCTTCCCAATACCAACTAATCACATATACTTTGAAGTGCAAAGAAGTTACAAGGAAAATTCCAGGGCAAGCCTGCAAGTCATTACTCCAACTGGTAGAACGTGCAGTGGAGTGCAACCCACTCTTTCACAAATGCATCAGCACCACAGTGCTGACAGCAGTGAAAATATGATTGCATCAGTGAAATGAACGCCCAGAACAACACTGAGAGTAGGATATCTCGTGGCACAGTGTCATGTTTCTATCTATATTGAGGGTTACAGAACTCTCGATGCTTTTTCATTTTGATAAGCAAAAATAAATTACCTATAAAAATATCAGGTAATAAAGCAAACTCTGGTGAAAGCAGGCTTTACTTAAAAAAAAAAAAAAAAAGAAAAAAGAAAAAAAGAAAAAGAAAAAGAAAAAGAGTCTCCTAGCAAATTTGCAAGACTTGCAGCCAAAAATACCTTCAAATTCTATTTCACAAGGGGTCAGGGCCCAGCCGAAAGTGCCCAGAAACACAAGAGAAAGTAGTCTAACAATTTCAGTTCACAGATGTACTGAACCTGCATATTCATTCAGTAGTCTTAGGTGGCAAGACTAAGCTCCAGCTATAAATGACAGTTCTCTCTACAGTCTCGTATTAAGTCTCATGCTGGGTTCAGTGGAACAGACCGACTATCTGAGCTCAGGTGCTGTATTACACCTGCAATAATTTCTAATTAACTATATTTGCAGCTTTCTCTAGACAATTATATTTCATCCAGGAATGTTAAGAAAAGACAACTTGTACAATGAGGATATTTTCTGCTAGTATAAAAATCCTTTTCTATAACTCTTTTTTCCAACATTCACATTTCATTTGATCCAAAAAAAAACCTATATCAATTAAATAAGCTTGTCTCTTTTGTTATCCACAGCTAACGCAAAACTTGGCAAATGACCCGTCTAGAACCAAAACACAAACCCTTTCCAACCCTTAATTAGCTCCTCTCCCTCAGTAGGGCGTCAGGGCAGCAGTCAGAGGTAACAACAGGAAGACATTTCACCCTGTGTGCCATGTCTGAGCTGAACCTACCTTTCGGGATTTGGGTTGTTCAACTTGTTGAGATCCTGGGGTGGGTTTGGCCCAGAAGAAGCCAACGAGCGGTAAAGCTGAGAGCACATGAGAGAGCATCCCCAAGTGGGACTTCTGCTGCTGCTGTTGCTTGGGCCCTCTGAAGCGATACCTATACGATAGCAGCAAGCCAAGGGAGAAAAACACTAACACGGACAGGAGCACCTCCTTATTAGCATAAGTCATCAGGTCCCCACACTTCTTATACACGTAGATGAAGGAGGCAATACCCAGGAAAGTCCACATTGTGAAGGGACTGGCCACTGCTGCTGGTTGCTTCCTTTAAAGCCTTTTAGGCTGACTAAGGCTCCCTGAAACAGGTTTTCACACAAAAATAGAAAAAGTATATACAAAAACACAGAGAATTCCTTTGCAATGAAAGAGAGAGACCCCACAGTGGGAAACCAAGGGGCTCCACAAAAACGCAGGGAAGGAGTAAGCGCAACCTCACCGGGCCATAGGAGCCCAGGGAGAGACTCCAAAAAGGCGGATAGAAAACTCACTGTAAAAAGTCTTCTTAAAAATCACGGAGAACCGTAGAGCAGCTAGCTGCGCCCACTTAAAAGAATCCACAACCTCGGCTGCCGCCTCGGCCCGGGCTCCCGCTGCCCACGGCCGCGGCGTGG